TAAAGAAAATTGTTTTAGCCGATATAACGTATTTCATTCATCACGAGGAACCGTCTAGATTTAGTGCCTGGTTTCTCGAATGTTTAACAGCAGTACCTTATAAAGAAGATTCTTCACAATTTAAAAGTAACTTTAGTTGATTAAAAATTCCCCCCAGAAAAATTATCATATTTTATTATAGTCTCAGGTATGCTATCAGACATTGTTTACGTTATATTGCTAAACCCTGGTTTTGATATTAAAAGTCCTGATATGACTATCAATAAACCGCTGTTAGACCTAAATAAAGTTACTTTTATATAATTATTTTGAAATGGTTCTACTTAAATTGTTTTAAATTTATCAGATATCCTTAGAGAAGGTTCTATGCATAAATGCTACAATTTTCTGCCAATTCATGAATTTCGTCAAAAAATTTCTTTCCCTTTATTACAACTTCCCTGAAGATGGCATTAAAACCAAATGGTTCGATAGAGAAATGAAAACCGAGATGGATACCTGTATATTCAAGTCACTTGAATTAAACATGCCAGGTATCATAGCGCGAGCTGTTAAAAATTCCAATGTTTCCGTCAATTTCAATCAGGGGCTTAAATTGTTATATTCTTTTGTGCTCACTTCTATAGAAAAAGTATGCGATTATAAAGACATACCATATGATATGTCAATGCTATTGTCCTGGGTAGAGCTTTGGCATCTCAAGTTTGATAGTAATACACAAAATGGTGTTTATTGGTTCCCACAAATCGAAGAAAATGAAAAACTTAAAATGGGAAAAATTAGTATTTTTAATATTTTATGAATATATAATATCATTTTAAAAAGTAAAAATATCATTTTAACTATAACCATTTAAGCCCTTTAAAACTAATCATTTAATTAAAATATCACTTTAAAATTGCAAAAAACATTTTAAATAATATAAGGCAGTGATTCAAATCGTAACGAATATCATGAGGTTTAATATAAAAATAACGGTTTAGGATTTAATCTCGGTTTAGAGAAATAATAATATTGGTTCGGTTTAAACCTTTAAAACCTGGTTTAAACTTTTTCATATAAAACTTAGTTAGAGGAAAATTTATATTATTATTGGATTGCAAATATTTATATATCGAATTTAGAAATAAAAAACAAATAAATAATATCAATGGCTAAAAATAAATATTTATTATAAAAATGAAGACCGACAATGATTGACCAATCATAATTGATTGATGGGAATTTTAAAAAAATTTAGGATATCTATAAGGGTCAAATCAAGAAACTTTTTTATATATTCAGTTCAAGTTCCGGTGACAAAATTTATCAAATCAGTTATTACCTATTTACAGATTTGGTTCGGATCCCTGGTGGAAAAAAGTTCAAGTTCGCCAGGTCAAGTTCATTCTTGAAAGCGATCCTAAAAACATTCGATTCTCCATAAAATTAAGACTAAACGATTTTTTTTATTAAATAAGCAAATCATATTATAATTTTAGAAATAATATAAATGAATATGAAGAAAATTATTATTTCCAAAAGCTTTCATCATTTATTCATTAGTATACAGTAATTTAGTATAGAATTTCTAAAAAACCGGACCGGGTTAGGAATTTAAAAAAACCAGGCAGAGCTTGGCAACCTTAGTAGGAAATTGGAACCGGACCGGGCGGGTATAAATTGAAGAACCAAATCCTAACTAGGCCGGGTAGGAAAATTTTCAATTTGCAGACCTCTAATGGATATAGAAGAGAAGTATTTTATATTAAATGAAATCATATATTTTTGCGTTAAGGCGTGTCCCAAAATGAAAAAAGGTTGTAGGAGGGAAAGTTCCGATTCTCTAATCACTGGTAGCAGGGCTTCGAACCTAACCCAAAGCCAAGTGGGGGGGGGGGAGGATTCTTTTGGGTTTAGAGTAATTATTTTAATTCACCTCGATCTTTCATGAAGGAAAAAAAATGATTAAACAATCTCGTCCTACGTTCCACGTAATTTAAAATTTGACTTATACATTTTTACTTAATCATCAAAATTGGTATTTATTTTTTTAAAATATGACTGAAATCTCTTAACCCTTTCGGTCGCGGTAGTGCAAATATAAAACCACCTTTTAACCTTTATATCTTCTAAAGGAGTTAATCATATAAAATGAAACCACCACGAATATATATTAAAAGATATTCTTTTTCATGTTTGTGGAGGAGTTATTTTTTAATTTTTTTTTCGCGCCTTTATTTCAAAATACGTTTTTTACGATGATTTTTCTTAAAATTCCAATTTTAATTATAAGTAAGTATATTTATCAAATATTTTTAAATGTATATATTCCTCACTATTTTATCTATCTTTCTAATATTTATTTTTGCTCAAATAAATAATATTTATATATTATTTTGATCTCTTTAATGTGGTATATTAAACTAACCACTGCCACTTAACAACAATATTTTTAATATTTATTTTTTTAAATAATTGATAAATTTTGCCAACTCATTTCGCAATAATTTTAGCTTGTTATATATATGGATGATTATCTGGACATTCCATCTGAAGGTTCTTCGTTCATCCACTGATTCCGAAGATAATTATGAATCGGATACACGTTACCAAATTGATAGTGATGATTATGAATCGGATACACCTTATCAAATTGAAATTGATCGATTTAAAAAAGAAAGGTATATATGCTACCGGAACACTAAACAAAAATAGGAGATACTTGCCCATAAAGAATATGGAAACAAAATTAAAAAGAGGTGAGTTTGACTGGAGAAGTGACAAAAATAATATAAGTATAATTAAATGGCGAGATAATCGTGACGTATTTATAATGCCCAATTATATTGATCCGAGATCAGTGGATACTGTGAAGAGAAAAAATAAAAAAGGGGAAGTATTTGACGTAAAATGTCCAATAATGATAAAGATGTATAATAAATATATGGGGTCTGTTGACCATTTCAAGTCTTTATATGAAATTTCGCGAAAATGGTGACTACCAATATTTTTTTGGCTGATAGATGCGGCGATTATCAATTCATTCATAATATACAATATTCTTACAGATAATAAACTCTCATCGAAAGAATTCCGAAGACAAATAATTGCTAGCGAATTGGCATACTGTAAAAATGTTAATAGGGATGATAATATTCATAATGATAATAATTATATATCAATGCAAAGAAAAATAATAAAGCTTATATCCTTCTAGAAATTAGACTAAAAAACTCAGCTCATCAACCTCAGGCAGGAACCTCACGAAGGTGTACCTTCTGTAGTACAAAGTTAAATCCCAGAAGAACAAGGTGGTCGTGCAAATCATGCAACGTACCACTATGTCTAAATAAAAATAGAAACTGTTTCGAAAGTTTCCATAAGGTGTCAATGATATGAATTTGAAACCACCAGGGAGAGCCGCCATTTTGAATTTAAAAAACTTTTTTTGTGTGTTTTATATTATATTATCCTAGAATCAATATAAAAATTACTAAATATCGTGTTGCAACATATTAATTTTATGAGGGAACCTAAAGGGTTAAACCGAGCCGGGTTTAAAATTTTGTTGATTCCGAATCAGACAAATTTCTCGGGTTGGAAATCCTAAATAGTATAATTGATAAAATGTTTTAGTAAGTGTTAATTTATATTTTTAAAATTGAAAAGTGTTGAATATTATATCCAAGCACTCCAGTATATCGTGCATCTCGATGTGCCTTAAAATATTGTCCCATTACTTCAAAGTTTATTCCTCTCCTCAAAGCTTAGATGATAGATCAAATTTCACTATACAAGGTAATGGTAACGTCAAATTTATCGAGAACAGTCACTGGTTTTACCAATCAGTTTGCGAAAAGATTATATTCCTGATTATGAATAACGAGGAAACTCTGAAAGTTTTCCAAATTTGGCTTTCGCGTAGTCATCCCAATTCAAAAATATTGATAAAAATTCTGAGTCACGTGTTATACGAAGAAAAAGTGAAGAAAATTCATTGCAAAACTTTGGCTGATTTTAGAATAAAACAGGTTTTAAATTTAATATTTGATAAAAATATTTCCGTAGATGGTATTGCAACTCGCAGTGTCTGACGTATTAGATATATTGTGCTATGACGATGATACGCTTTTTAAATACAATATTATCATTTTATTGAACGCGTCGTTGGATTTAAAAAATGAAAGTCGATTATTTAAAATAGTCACAAAAAATAAGGAAGGCATCAATGACGGCGGCAACAAGAAAATGATTATGGGAATTGATAATATTTTATTGGTCGATTTGTTTTACCAGCTTCTATCAATCACTCTCTTGGTATATTGCATTTTTTTTAAATACAAATCCTATTTATTATCGCTTATTTCTTTAAGGCTATATCCAGACTTCACAATTTTAAAAATAAAAACTGAAATTTTTGACGCAAACACAACCTAAAGTAAATTTAACTTAAATCCAGGATTACTTAGAGATTAAACATCAGAGGGTGAGATGGGAATGTTACGATAACACGCCCTGTTCTAAAAATATGAGACCGAACTGAACGGGACATAATTATATATTGATAATAATGTTAGATAAATTTTATATAACCAGTTTTAACATACATACATTTTCTTTAACGTATAAAAGGAATCTTACATATCATTCGCGGCGTTTTTATTATTATGCAAGATTATCATCGCGACTTATGAAACCAACCAGGATCTTACGGGAACCTTCATAAACATTACTTGGTTTCCGAATCTTTTCCAGATGCGGCTGAGCTCCTTAAAGGATACGGAAGAAAGTTGGCCCGAGGAAATAGAAAATTATATCATCTATAGTTGTGATCCGCATGCAATCATAGACAAAGCCAATAAAATTATCCAACTATTCTTGTAAAAAAATCTTATAATCTTCTCTATATTTAATAATCAGTTTTTAAATTGTTCTATGATATATCATTTTTATTATTTATTTATTTCGTAAATAAACTTGTCTTATAAAAGTCGCACAACAAAAATGTATATTATATAAAAAATTTCATTAGGGAGTGATATTTTCTTTTTTTAGAGGTGTTGGAAGTCTAAAATTTATTCAAATAAATATTTCAATCGGTTATCATGAGGAAAAAAATCTCTCCTTATCTGTTAATTATTATAATAATAATGGGTGTTAAAGCATTATTCTGCAACGTATACGAAAATATATAATGAAACAATGATTTTCTTAAAAGGTAATGAAATGTTCATAAATTTTTTTTAAATATAAATATATTATTATTGTATTAAAATTTATTTAAATATAGGGGGGGGGGTATGAAAAAAAAATATTGGGGGAAAAAAATTTGCATATAAAATTCACAATTATATATTATTTATATATATAATATTCACTATAAATATTTACAATTATGCAGAAATTTAACTATTACGATTTTTTTTTAAAAAAATTCGCCAGTAAAATCTTTCTCGTTTTATTAAAAAACATACAAATCATGTTTGTATTGTTTTTTTGGGGAAAATATATATTTAAGATAATTGTTTCATGATTTTGTTGATATATCATTATTAGACGTACTTTTGACGAAGTTATGAGATATACCAGACACGGGGTCAAGAAAATTTTGATCAGCTTGTTGAAATTTCATGTTAACATTTTTGTTTAAATTATTGAGTATGTTTGATATGAAATATCTTTGCAAGCCAGACGCCATAATAGCAGCTTGAAATTGGGAAAAATAATCTGAAGTAATTTTATTTTAAAAATAAATAAAAAGTTAATAGAATTGTTGGTATACAAGAATCTCCAAAATCAAATATAAATGTTAAATGATAGCTTAGGTTTTGTTGAACAATCGATATTTTACTTTTCTTGCATCAATCGCCTATTCCAAATTTTATGAAATAATTTTTTATTATATATTACTACTTCACATCTCTGTTCCAACGTAACTAGAGAGTTAAATTTTTAGTGAGCTATCAATCCACTTAAAAAAATTTGTAAACCGCATGGCAATAAGAGAAGTAAGCAAGATAAAATGTAAAACACCAATTCGTTCAACACTAAACATAGGCATTATAAACTTTGCAATAGAGTATATTGCTGAGGAGACAATTGATTAGAATTTTGTAATAGATTGACCAGTGCCATGTATTGACTTTGAAGCATCACGATATGTTGAGGAGAAAGTTGAGGAATTTCGTTATTATTAGGGAAAAACGTCCCTATGTTCATACTTCTTAGCATATTTAACATAGCAAATTGTCTTTGTTGAATCATATTCATCATATGCGTCGATGCATTCTTGGTCATGTCATTGTTAAAATTCTTCTCATATATAAGATAATCGTTAAAGTATGACAAAAAAATATATTGTTATACTGGTTTGCTGAATAAGGCACTCACATCGTGTGGTTGTGACTGATCAAATTTGTTGGGCATTATATTATTAGGAAATCCGAATATATTGTTCAAATTATTAATATTATGCCGTTCTTCGCTGCTTGATAATTGATTCGCGGGATTTTGTTGCTGAGTTTTCGAATCAAAATCATTTCTTTTAGATTTTATATCTACAAAAAAAATCAAATTGTATTTTAATAAAAAATCATTTGGTTATACTGTCGGGTAAAACATTGTTTGATACCATATGACGAAATACTGCTGTGGGAGTAAAAGGAGAAGCCTATTAATACAAAATCATTATAAAAAAATTGAAAATTTAAGTATTAATACTTTTTCAATGAGACTCTTGTTTGAATTATGGTTATTCTTAGGTTTTGCGGCATCATTATGTCTAATTATTAAAAAATTTAATATGATTGTTTGCATTATTATAATAAATATTATGATAATATTATAAGCATTAAAAGTTTGGTAAATCTAAAACTTGTATTAAAAATAGGCCACCCAAAATAGCATTCATCTTTAAAATTTATTTCAAAGATTTGTTCCAATAAAATATTAATTAATGTTCGCTAAGATTTGAGGTAAAATTTAGTAATTACTTCTAAACAGTTTATTAGTCGTTGACATTAATTATCATAATTATTATCATCAATCAAACTTAGATCTAAAGCTATAAACATCTGATTATTTCAAAACCACAATTATTTTAATTGTTCAGCTCTAATAAATAGACATTTTAAAAAGAATCCTTTCTAGAAATTTCTTTGGAAATTAATAAATTTAATGTATTTTAGTTATTTAAACTTAGTAAACTTCATACAAATATTGTTTCAAAATACAGAGTGCATATTTTATATTTAACATTTAAGCATTATATTAGACAGTCCCTTTCAATTTTTGTACCTATGAATCTTGTGATGCAGGCAATGAAATACAATGCTTATCTAGACTTACCATACATTCATAATACATTTTGAAGCGTCGCAGAATATATATCAGCGGTAACACGCCATTTTCAGTTTCCCGCAAAAAATTTTTTATGCATAAATGATTTACAAGTGAAACAAAAATGACGTGTTATCAGCTGATTTGTATTGATACATATTTAAACGAATGAATGTCATTGGGTGAATTAGTACTATTAAAAAAAGTGGAGAAAATAGGCTAATTCTATAAAGTATATAGGGAGTTATTTTATATGAAGGGCCGTGTCAAAAAAATACATTTTTGAGAGATGGACTAATACCTTTAATTTTAGTCGATTTTCGATACAAGTGATCTTGCTATTTCTTTTATCATTTTTTTTAGCTAAATAACAAACCTTTTGCAAATACTTATCGATGTTAAAAGTATAAAATTCAATATTTTTATTTAATCGATACAGAAAATAATAGGGCTGTGCAGATTCACATATTTTTCCCGATCCGATATTGGTTCAAAACCGATCCGATATTTATATTGATTTTTCACCACCCCCCTTTGAATCAAATGTAATTATGAAATCAATATTTTTTATGAATCAATATTTTTTATGCAAAAAATCGAATTATGAATTTAATTTTTTTATTTCTACAATAATTAAAAAAATGTTTACGGATATTGGTAGCATTAAATGAATTTTTCATTATTCTTTCCCATGAAATTAGAATTCAGCAGATAAAGCATTTTGCAAAATTATCTTTGTCTTTTGTAAAATATTTCCATAATTCAGATAAATTTATATTTAAAGTATAAATAATATTGACGTTATTGTTTAAAAAGATTTAAAATAAATAAAACTTTGGATGTTCTTTCTATTTTTATAAAAAACTTTTAAAATGCTATAAATCTATTTTAAAAAAAATAAAATATAAGGGATGTTGTTCATTTGCATCGTTTAAAAAAAATTATTTAGAAAATATTATTAATGTAAAATAAATATAAATAAAATAACAAAAATAAGTAAAAAAATGATCGGATCGGGTTTTTACAGGTATCGGCCCAATCCCATATTTTTAGAAAACGCTAAATATAGGTGCCGATCCGATACTTAATATCGGCACAGCCCTAAAAAAAGCACCTAGAAAAATATTTTAAAAACAGGATTTAAACAGATTTTTAAAAATAGGTACTCTAAAAGCAGTTGTTTTTAGTATTGCCTGCCCTATGATAAAAGTTTAATGGCCGCAGTAATTTGACCGTGCGAAGGTAGCATAATCATTTGCAAATTAATTGTTTGCTAGGATGAATGGTAAGACTTATTTTAAGTTATTATTGGTTAATAAAATTGAATTTAATTTTTAAGTGAAAAATCTTAAAGTTAATAAAAAGAAGGAAATACCCTAGGAGCTTCTGTATATAGTTACAGTTAGTTGGGGCAACTAGGGCTAAAATTAAAACTACCCTATAAAATATTAAAATAGAGTGTATTTTAAAGAGATCCAATTTTATATTGATATTTAGAAAAAGTTACCCTAGGGTTAACAGCGTAATATAGTAAATTAGATCTTATAATTTATAGTGTTTGCGACCTCGATGTTGAATTATTTTTCATTAAGATGCAGTAGTTTTAATGGATGGTCTGTTCGACCATTAAATTTATCCATGATTTGAGTTCAGATCGGCGAGAGCCAGATCGGTTCCTATCTTTTATTGTTATATTATAAAGTTAGTATGAAAGGACCACTTTAAATTTAATTTAGGTTAGCATAATTTGTGTACTAAATTTAGGATTTAGAGGTATATATTTACCTAAAATTCATTACTTAAAGTAATTTAAGTATTTTAGAGTTGAAATTTCTAAATAATTTATATTATATTAAATGAATATTGATTTATTAACGAGAGTAATGATTTTTACGATCTTGATTTGCTTTCAAGGCAAATATAGGTTACTCAGATAGAAGCTATAATAAAAAATAATAAAAAGTAGATAACACTGAGTATCTGCCCTATAACAATGAAAGGAGGTTCTACAAGTTGAGAACCAATATAGCTTAATAAAATAAAAGAGGAGGCAACAAGATTTGCAATAAATTTACGTAAAGAGTTATAGATTAAAAGATTTCTTGAAGATATAAGTAAGATGTATATAATTATGATTCTTATAAATAAAGCAATAACTCCACCCAATTTATTCGGTACACTTCGTAGGATACCATAAGCAAAAAGAAAATATCACTCTGGTATAATATGTGGTGGTGTGGATAAAGGGTTAGCCTCGATAAAATTGACTACATCTGTGAATAAATCAGGACATAAAAAAATAAGAACAAAAAATAAGAATAATGGCAAAAACAAAAATATCTTTATAAGAAAAAGTTTGGTGAAAAGGGATTTTAAAAGCAGAAGGGATTCCAAGGGGGTTGTTACTGCCCTTTAAGTGTAATAAAATTAAATGCACTATTATTAACACTAGTAAAATAAAAGGTAAAATAAAATGTAAGGAAAAGAATCGATTTAATGTAGGGTCTCCTACATTAAATCCTCCTCAAATTCAAATAACCACAGGCTTTCCTAGAATAGGGATAGCGGAGATTATATTAGTAATTACAGTTGCTGCTCAGTAAGATATTTGCCCTCATGAAAGAACATATCCTAAAAAGGCTGTTATTATAGTTAAAAGAAGTAAGATTACTCCCGATGATCATACCATATAATTTATAACAAATGATCCATAGAATAGACTACGAAAGATGTACAAATAAATAAAAATAAACATAAAAGATGCTCCTATAGAATGGAGATTGCGCAATAAAAATCCCTCCCAAATATTATTTTCAATAGATACCACTATAAAAAATGATTTATTAATATCTGAAATGTAATGTATAGAAAGAAAGAATCCCGTAATAAATTGGGATATAAAAAATAATCCTGTAATTGATCCTATATTTCATCAATAATTAATATTAGGAGGGGTTGGGAGATCAATAATGAATTTATTAACTTCATTAAATATTTCAGATTTTCGGATAGATTTATTTATCATTTAAGTTTAGTTAATGGAGAGTTCATATTGGGGTTGGAGACAAAACACATGAGTATAGGAATAAAATTAATATACCACCTGTGTAAGTTATTACAATAACCAAGTTAAACAAGGAGGAAGGTGCATTAAAATTTACTAAAACAGCTGTCTCTACTCTTAGATATCACACCCTTTAGGGTTAGGGGTACTCTTAGTTCTTCTAAGAGTAGAGACAGCTGTTTTAGTAAATTTAATATATTAAAGGTAGTTTAAAAAATACAAACTTTGGGGTTTTGAGATAAGATTCATTTTATCTTCCTTTAAAAATTGATTAAAACTCTTGAGAAGAAGTATTTTTGAGTTACAAACTCAACTTATTAAATATTTATAATATATAATCTTTTATTAAATAGGTAGCATAGTAAACGACTATATTAAGTCTTACTTAAGTTTACAGCTTGAGTTATCAAATTTACTTATTATAATTATACCTGATATAATTAGTGAGGATAGATACTATCAAATTAAGATTCAAATTCTTAATTAAAATCACTATTAAAAACCGTGCAGTGTTTAAATTTATAAATTTAAACACTTTATACATAAATAAGGTAAGCTAAAGATTAAAAGCTTATGGGTTCATACCTCATATATGATTATAAAATCCCTTATAAATTTTAATAGCTATATTACGAGTAATATGATTAGGAAGTATTTTGTGAATATTTAGATCTAGCTCATTCATTTATTTTTGGTAGGGGTTAGCATTAAATTTAGTTTTATTTTTACTTTTTGTTATTTTGGGAGAGGGGGTGGAATCCTATGTTGGTTTATTATTGTACTATCTGGTACAAAGAACTGCCAGCCTCTTATTTTTGATCTTGAGACAAACCAATTATGTATGGGTGCCAATTGGTTTGTCTCAAGATCAAAAATAAGAGGCTGGCAGTTCTTTGTACCAATGTCTACATTGCAAAAGTTAATTCCGGTTTATTATTGTACTATCTGGTACAAAGAACTGCCAGCCTCTTATTTTTGATCTTGAGACAAACCAATTAATGATTATAGTGTACTCTTCGATTGGAATGTCAGAATGAATAGTTCTATTGGTAAGAAGAGGAGTATTTTATTTTTTATTATTTAGAGGAATGTACATCTTTCTAATTTTTAGAGTAAAAAATTTAAAAATAATAGTTTTAAGGGTAGTTAATGCGAAAGCTAATTATCTGTTAATGTATAAAGTAACAGGGATTAGTTTACTAATAATTTTGTTGTTTTCTGTGTCAGGATTCCCACCCTCTAATATTTTTTTAATGAAGTTAGTTGGGGTTATTAGTCTTATCAATAATCATGCGATAATAGTAGTAATACTTTTATTACTATCGGGGGTGGGGTATTACTACTATTATCGCATGATTATAGTTTGATCTATTTATTTAATGTTAAATTTAATACCCAAAATCTTTAATAAAAAGGTAAAAGGAGTATATGATAGAAAGGTTAGAATATCCCTTTTAATTTTATCCTATTTTTTACTAGTATTATACTAGTATTATATTAGAGTAAAAGGATTTTAGGTTAAAATTTAAACCATAGGTCTTCAAAACCTATAATAATTTATTAAAAATTAAATCCATTTTGGATAAAATTCTTAGCTGCTTCAAAGCTATACTTTAAGTGATATACGCTATAACCAAATATCTAATTACAGTAAATTTCAAGTTATTGTCAGTATTAATATGATGACAAATAAGATAGAAATCCTGAAATCCCTATTTCCCGACAAATATTGCAGATAGAAATCCTGAAATCATAGGAGCAAAAAGGACAAAATAATTGGATAACGGATTTCATATAAATATTTCTCAAGAAGAGAAAATGTTATTAAGATTAAATATAACAATTCTTCCTACCCCCAAAATTATTAAAGGGATTGATAAGTTCCAGTTATAATGAGTGTCTATAAATTTTGAGAGGGGTCTACTTTCCTCAAAATTTATAGACTTTAAAATTCGAAAGGAGTATTCAACTGTTAAAAATACAGATAAAAAAATTATTGTTCATATAAGAAAATGACTACTATGATAGAATCTACTACTAGATTCTATTAACGAGTGCTCCTTAGAGAAAAATCCTATAGAGCAAGGAAAATCTATTAATGATCAGGAAGATAAAAAGGAAGATTGTGAAGTTAATTTACTAGAATTAATAGGGTTCATTCGAGTTTCTTGAGAATTTATATTAGAATGAAATACTCTTCCTGCTCTTATAAATAAATTACTTTTAAAAATGGCATGAGACAATAAATGAGTTAAGCATAGATAAAAAAGTTTATTTACAGCAAGAATTAATATAAGTCTTATTTGATTTATAGTTCTAAGAGCAATAATTTTTTTAATATCTTTTTCTTTTCAAGCTGAGAGTGAACTAATGAAGAGGCTGGCTGCTAGCAGCCATATGGCTGCGCCAACCCCTATTTTCTCATTAGTTCACTCCAGAACCCGCAAATTCGGTCTACCACATTTCACTACCTTGTCTCAGAACATTCGATGGATACCTACTGACGAAAACCCTGCTGACGAGCCGTCTAGGTCCTGGATGGGAAATAGGGACTACCTCACCCTCTTCGATGGCGCCCCGCTATCAGGACAAATACTCCTCCAAGAAGAGGAAATATCTTTATTCGGCGAGGAAACAGTCCCCTCGATCGGTACAACTCCGTCGTTAATATCCGGACTATCTCTTCAATCCAGCACGATAACATATGAGCTGGAACAACTTAGTATAGCCAGCGATGACCTACTCTAAGGCAAAACAACAAAATCAAAAATTTTCAAACAATAATCGAACACTAAAGAACGATTCATCCGATAATATTTATTACTATAAATACTCATTATAATGTGTTCAATACCATTATTGTTATTTTCTTGTATATATATTTCCGCGAAAAATTTACTTTTCTCTTATATATCACATCACCAAAAATTTGATTTCGTTAAATAAAGCCTTAGGGATACCAAAGCCATAAAGGCCAAGGTATCCAACTATATCCACATTTTCCCTGAAAGGGGAAAAATGTAGGGTTCTGGAGTGAACTAATAAGAAAATAGGGGTTGGCGCAGCCATGGCTGCTAGCAGCCAGCCTCTTCAGGGCAGTTGCGCAGATTTAATAAAAGCTGCCAGTAGTGTTGTATTAAATGCTAGAATAAGAATAGGATTAAGAGCAGTAGATATATTAATATTAGAGATTATATCAATATTGTTGGGTCTTAAGAAAAATATAAATAAAATAATTATTACATCCCCAATTCGATTAATTTTTAGGGTTATGGTGGCTTTTATTATTGAAGAATGATTTTGGTAAAATATAATTAGGAGAAAAAAAGTAAGACCTAAACCATCTCACCCCAAAATGAGAATAACTAATCTGGGGGTGATTACTATAAAAATTATAGACAATAAATAGGTTAAATATTATATAATAAAAAAGTTTATTTACATCTTCTAGTATGTAATAAAATCTATATACTAATACATTTAATGAGATTAATGTAAGAATAAAAATAAAGGATACAGAGAAAGGGTGGAATAAAAAATCAAATTCAAATCTTATATTTTTTAGTATAATTAAATTATACGATAATTTTGTTGACAGTCTAGTTATAATGTTGGTTTGTATAGTTATAAAGATAAATATTATAACTATACAAACCAACATTTTATTCTTAAATACCCCCCTTTTTATTTTTTTATTTATTGTGAGTTGATATTTATATAAATATAATTAATTTTACAATCTCTTTCTCTAGTCGATTATTATCTCTTTTAAGTTGTCTTCCTTACTCATCATGCTATATTATTCCCATTTTATTTTTTACCGATCTCCTTTGTCCTCTTGTAAGCTACCTTGCCCCGGTCCTAGAAGATTAGGAGGACCCAGCAAGTGATGTGATGGAGGAGCAAATAAGGCTGCCAAAGGATTGCTAAGGGGGTGTGGGTTAGCCATAGCTGCAGCGGCGGCCGATATAGCAAGCATGCGGACTCGGTAGGCATGGTTGGCAGAATTTAAAAATCCCGGAGGTAAAGCAGAGGGTGGCGGGGGGTGGGCAAACCTGTTACCACCATTACATGAGTAGAAGTGATCCACAACATTTTTAATAGCAGCCGTAGGGTCCAAGGATGTTTGGAGATGATGGAGAGGTGGAGGTGCGTGTGAAGGAAGGAAAAGTGGCGGTGCTAAGTGAAGGGTGTAAAAAGTAACAAATAAATAAGGTGCGAATATAATTAAAGAAATCATTTGGATAATCTCTATTTTTCACATAAAAAACATTTCGATCAAATATAACATAGCCGAAAGAATGCAAGATAAAAGAAAAAACGCTGCAAACTTTGTAATAAATGACGATGCAAAACTTAAATTGTTAAATAAAGAGATTTATTGGTTAATGAGATATTAATATATCTAATTATCAAAGAGACTTTCATTTCACAGCACTGTTTGATTAATATAGTTCTAACTAATCTAACTCCACTTGGGTCTAAGGGGGTTCCCTCCACACTAGATTCAAAAAATCAATTTTAAATGTCCTTTATGTATTAAATTAGTTTGAGCTCCATTTGGTCCAATGTTTTAATTATTATAAGGTACTATTTGTTCAATCAGTCATAAGGCATTGCATTATTTTTCTTATATACTAATCAAATATATTTATTTCCAAAAATATTTTAAATAAAATTCAAGCTAGATAATAATAGTGAAGACTGAGACCTCAATTTTTATTGAGTAAGAGTGATAGAAAAAAAATAATTTTGTCAATATTTAGACAGGGCTGTTTTAGGTTTTCTTTTGAGTTTTGAAATATATAATAGTTAATGCAATATAAGAAAAATTTGTTTAGTTTAAGACAAAAGGCATGGTGTTGTTAAAATTCGTTCCATTGCAAAATTGACCTTAGGGGAGTTAAAATTACCAGTGACTTGATTATTTTATAGGGTTTATTAAAAAAAGTATTCTTTTATTTTTATTTTGAGCTTTTCTGTAATAGGGTTGAGGCGATCTCTCTGCAAACAAGATTTGGACTCTATATAGATATTGAGAAATAAGGTTAGAACTCTACAGCTAAGTAGGGAAACCAATATATCTTTTTAAATAAATATAAATTAGGATATAAAATTATCGATATTTAAAATACATTTTTATAAGAAATAAATAAAGGAAACAATATTTAACCTAGGTTGAATCTCGTGTCATCTTCCTAATGGAAATAAAAAAGAATATTTAATAAATCGGATTTTAATATAAATTTAAAATCAAAATTATTTTTAAAAAACCTTTTTAACGTTCATCCCTTGCTGAAAATTAAAATCGAATAATCCGTATGAAGCAGGATTATATTGATTATTTTTATTCGCATTCCCACCATCAATTTTACATTGCTCCAAATCTTTGAGTATATCTTCTTCCGTTATCATTTCTTGTGTATCTTGAGGTGATCGCACCGACTAAAAATAATACAAAGTTTACATTGTTGATTTACCTTATATACATATAATTATATATTACCAATTGTGTGTTGACTTCCTGATTTTGGACAGCTAAAACCAGTTTTTCAAAGGGTGTAAGGCTTTTTTCTTCCATTTGAATGGGGGTTAAATCGAACCGCGGCGTATTCAGAAATGATAGCCTTAGGTCAACGTCTTTACCTACCAACGAAATTTAATGTATATAATAACTATATGCTAATACGTATGAATACATAAATAGTGTCAAAATCGTATATTTTTTATTTCACCTATACCCTGGCCAAAAGAATATGAGGGCCAACAAAGGCATTCATATTTAGGAGACATTTATAACAGGAAATACACAAAAGTTAATCATACCCTTTTTTTCGTTGCGAGGTGATGAACAATTTGGGATCAAATCTCCCAAACTTATACTAGAGGCCTGATTGTATTGGTTCCACATATCGTGTTGGTTATCGGACATGATGATGGCGTCATCGTTTGGCAAGAAATTTAACAAATTATTAAATATACTGGCGGAAATTTTATTTTCTTGGTTAGATTTCTCGATAGTGATTGGTTGAATGTTGTCGTGAGATTGTAACTTATTGGCTGCTAATTCAATTCAACAAGATATTAAAACTATTATATATATATATATACACATACTTTCAGCATTGGAGGAAACAGATTTTTGAAAAAGAGCTTGAAATCTGCTAAAATTTTTACCCATCTTTAAAAAAAACGGTTAAATTTTGGTATTTTTTAAAAAAAATTGTAATTACCCCCAACATTGCATTAATGTCTTTTTGCAAATCATCGCTGGCATTTAAATCAGGAGTATCTTTTTCGAATTGGAATTTATTTGCTAATTGGTCTTCTAACGGACTTCCGAATTCAAAATTCTGTTCTAAAAAAATGAAAGCAAAATTTTTTATGTAAATTATATGGCATATAAAAAATTAAGTATATTTTAGAATTTTTAAACGATATTTTCAAAGAGCCAAGTATATTTGTATTCATTAGATACATACATTATGTATGTAGGAATCCTTTGGGATTCGGGAAACTATTTAAAAAATACACAAAAAGTTCCCCAATCAAATCAGTTAAAAATTGACTTCAGTAGGCGATTCAAAATTGAAACATAAAAAAATCAATACAAACATTAATATAGATAAAAAAAATCAAGGCAAAATTGTTTTAAAAATTCGTGGGGTCGGGAGTCTTTATTTCATATCAGATTTCTAAAAATCTTACTCAGTAAATATTACGAATATTGCGAGATTTTAAATTCCCATGGATTTAACCCAATCCGATATATCGTGGGCTGAGTATTATAGTATTCTAAATCCACTTTTTTGCAAACTGCTTATTTTCTGACAAAAGAATGCCTCGATAGTATATTTATATATATCCACAATAAAAATGTTAAAATTTTATTTATTACGTTGTAATCTAAAAATACAAGAAATACTTTTTTATTAAATGCTAGGGCTGTGCCGATCTACATGATCCGATATTGGTTCAAACCCAATCCGATATTTATATTGATTTTTCACCACCCCCTTTTGAACCAAATGTAATTAAGAAATCAATATTTTTTATGCAAAAAATCAAATTAATGAATCTTTCAATATTCCTCCACATGAAATTAGAATTCCGCAGATAACGCATTTTGCAAAATTATCTTTGTCTTTTGTAAAATATTTCCATAATTCAGATACCATATTTAAAAAAATTCTTTTATTTAAAGTATAAATAATAAAATTGGCATTTTTCTTTAAGAATTTAAAATAAATAAAACTTTGTGTTCTTTTTTATTTTTATAAAACTTTTAAAATACTATAAATCTATTTTAAAAAATAAATAAAATTTAGGGGGTTTTGCATTAGCATTGTTTAAAAAAAAATATTTAGAAAATATTATAATAATGTAAAATAAATATACATAAATAAAATTACAAAAAAAGAAAAAAAATGATCGGATCGGTGTTTATAGATATCGGCCCGATCCAATACTTTTGGAAAACGCTAAATATTGGTGCCGATCCTATATTTAATATCGGCACAGCCCTATAAAATGCTCTCCTGAAAACATTTAAAAAATGCATCTAGAACATTATAAACTCAGTAGAGACGATATGAGTATCATATCTACCCCGAAAATCAAAAAATGTTATAAAGAAGATAGGGAGTGAGACGGCAAATGAGATAAGAAAGGAAACGCTTATTAACGTTTAACTATTCGACTGCGTCTATCTTAATTTTTGTCCAGAATTTAGCTAAAAAATTGCACTTATTCAGACAGCTATTTTAGAATTCTAAAAAGAAAGAAAAAGACGAGCTATGAAAACGCAACAGTATAGCAATGTTTTCCTTTGAAATTTGGTCAAAAAGATTTTAAATTTCATAATTTATATCATTATTTTAATTTTAAGTGCAAGTTGAATTACAGGTATGGGTAGAGAATCGGGCTTTCCTCTCAAATTTTCAAATCTAGGATATTTCAAAATTTATACGAGTTCTTTGTATAACCCACTATATATACCTATATTGTGTATGTTATAAAATTGATATGAACCATTTTACCCTGGTTTATTGTGTCTTCTTACATTATGACATGAGTTTGGGAGAACTTTATACTAGAGACCGGCTTAAAAACATAAGCAAAACAAGATAATTTATCCTCAAGTATAAGAAAATGTCTATACGAGTCCAACCGATTCGAGTTGAATCGGATTGTTCATGCATTGCTATAGCTTTAACTATTACAGATATTCTTTTTTTATGGATTGATGAGGCTATCGCTATGTTATTTATAAAATATAACACAACTTTGCCATAAATTCCCCTGTATAAAGATTTTTTGTGCACACAAAAATGTGTAAGGGATGGATACCTTATGATGAAAATCTTCTATTTCTAAAATTTAACAATATTTATTTATAATTATTAAATTATATATTTTTCATTGTACTATTAAAATTTAACAATATTTATAATTTAATTATACATTTTGTATATAAAATCAATAAAATATTTTAGCGCCTTTAAAATTTTAATTTTAATAGAATCCGAAACCAGGCTTATTAACACCTTGCATAACAAAAAATGTCTTTGGGTAAACTTTGTATCAGTCTCTAATTCAAATTTCACAGGAAAGAGACATTAAATGGAATGAATGTGTTTAGTTAATATAAAATTACCTTTATTTTAGTAGAATCAAATCGTGATTAAAATCAATTTTCGATTTGATAAAAAAATCTGTAATTAATATTCAACAAATCAAACTAGTTTGGCGCGATTAAATTCCGCCATTTATAAATCCGAATATATTGAATCCTAATTCCATTTTTTCATAACTTAGAAAACAAGATCAATTTTAAATTATTCATCAGATCTTTGACAAGAATAATATAAATCATGCATTTTCAATCATAATTATTTTAGTTCTCTCAAAGTCATTATTTATATTTTATTTCATGTCTCAAGTGACTTAATAAATTAACAAAAATTGGACGCCAGCAATGGTCTTTGAAAACGTAATTATAAAAAAATAATTAGTTAAACATTATTAATGGCTTGTTAATCTCGTGGACTATTTTTCGATTTAGGATTAGCATGTTCTTCAAACCAAAAAACGATGCCCCTTTTTGGAGGGGAGGAGTAATGAATTATATTGATCTCATTTAAATTCAAAATAGCAAAAGCATGCATCTTCCCACAATTTTAGAAAATTTGATTGGTCTTTTTGAAAATAAAATAATGAGCTTAAAAATGAATAAAATTAATAGAAGGGGAAGTTAAATGCAAAAATAAAAGCTTTTTATGAGCATCCTAAAGATGCGAAAATTAAAGTTTATTGAAATAATGTTGTGAAGGCGTTTCTTTCTACTTAATAAATAAATAGAAAGCCATTTTTAAATAGTAAAAGTAAAGAAGTATCAAATGTTTACAATTTTTTTTATATTAACGTGGCGTAACGAGAATTTTTTTAAAAAGGTATCCAAATATCTTAAAAAAATCACGAGTTTTTAACTTAAAATTGTACACTTGCTTTAAGGAACTTTAACTTTATTTCAACAATATATAAAAAATATTTATTTAATTAAAATGCAAACAAAAATACCCATAATGATTATTTAACTAAAAATAAAAATTAATAATTTAATTTATTAAGTTTTATTTTTTAAATCTAGATATTTATATTAAACTAATTAACAATGTGACTTTATTGCTAAAGGGTATAATGTTAAATATAGCACAATTATAAATTGCACTGGGGGTCATTCCATGTCAAATGAGCAAAAAAATCAAGATTTTCGGCCGACCCCTTTCAATTTTGATAAAAAGTTGTAGACTGGTTATATATGTTTCCATTAGATTATAAACAAAATTTTAGCGCATTAGCAACTATATTAGCGGAGATAATCGGGGTTAAAGGTCCAAAAAACGCCTTTTTTTCCTTTTTAATGATGTTAAATAATTAGTTTTTAATTTAAAACTAATTATGATCAAATATTGAATCTAATATCAATAGCTAAGTTAATAATTGATAATTATGGCGAAAACATCAAAAATAATTTTTTTTTAAATATGGGTCATCTTATGGTCAGATGAAAACTTGAAATTAATATTTCGAAATGTATATGATCTCCGATTTTTAATTTTTTTAAGAAATATTATCCATTTACTATTTTTTTAATAATTTCTTTAACAATTAGCATGGCTGGATATTTATTTAAAAAAATATTGCGATTTTTATACTTTAAAAAAATAGATGGCGCTATATATAATAGTTTTAATATGTTAAAATTCATTTATTTATTGATTAAAAATATTTTAATGTATAATATATCATAAAATTCGATTATATAACTTTGTAAACCTTATTCCCCTGAGATATTCGCAGGATAAAAAAATTTAATAATTTTTTTAAAATTTCAATGTAAATTAAAATAATTATAAAATCGGACTAGCACACGAACAAAAAAGCAGGATTAAAGGGGTGCAGGAAAATTATTAAGGGAAAAATCGAAAATCACATTAATTACCAGGCCTACCCCCAACCCCCTATCCACCCCCTCCCCAGACTAAGTCATACCCATTAAGACCAAGAATGTTATGAAAATGTCATTATCTTAAATTATTAAAATAACCATAAAGAAAATTTCAAAGATTTTGAAAAATTTTTTAACCACAAAAATAACAAAATTATAGTTCTGATGAAATAAGCCGACTCATGTCTGGAATAAAAGATTGTGTATCTGTTATAGGCGAGAAAGAATCAGCAAAGATTTATATTAAATAATCTTAAAGAAATATTCAAGATGTTTAAGGAAGAATACCCAAGTATATCAATTGGATTCCCTAAATTTACCGAACTTAGACCAAAAAACTGAATTTTAGTTGGATGGCACACACACTGTTTGTGTCTGCGCCATTCATCAGAATGTGAAATTAATGACAAATTTAATAGCTGAAATTACAGCAGGAGAAGATTACTGTATAAATTCTTATAACAATCTTTTGGCGCAAATTATTTGTAATCCATCTCAGCCAAAATGTTATTTAACAAATTGTGATCAATGCCCTGGTATAGAATCTCTTATGGGCCAATTATACGAATTGTTTCGGAGAAATCGTATAGAATATGTCATGTTTAAACAATGGATCACGGTGGATAGAGCAAATCTTGAAACTATTATAAAGTCCATTGATGGTTTCATCGAATATCTATTATAAAAAGTTCAAATTTTACTGCGTCACTCGTTTATAGCTAAACACAAAGTTTATTTTTGAAGAATTCGAAGAAAATTTAAAAGATGAGGAATTTTTAACAATTCTAGATTATTCTGAGAATTATTCCTTCATTTTACAAGATGAAGTTCAGGGATTTCATTGGAAC